CATCTGTGGGGCAGAGCCCTGAAAGGATGTGGCTGCTGGGGGGGGAGGGGAGGGGCCCAGCGGTGTGTCACATGGTGCCAGCTACGATGTGAAATTGCACCAGGCCCTGAGCTCATGGGGGGAGGGGGGGGAGACTTCCCGCATCAACCCCACTGTGACCCCAGGCTCCCAGCCCCCCACTCTAACCACTAGACCCTCCTCCCCTCCCAGAGCCAGGGAGAGAACCCCGGAGTCCTGGTTCCCAGCTCCCCACACCCCAGACCCCACTCCCCTCCCAGACCAGGGAGAGAACCCAGGAGTCCTGGCTCTCCTGTATACTTACAAATCCCAGCATACACTTGATCTCCTTGAGGGAACCCAGGCATCCGAGGAAACCCATCAGCATGGTGATGATGCCAACTCCGGACAGGATGTAGGACCAGACCTTCAGGGCGTACAGTGAGGAACCTGGAAGGGGCCCGGGCAGAGCTCAGGGCTGGGCGAGCAGGGGGCTGCGGGTCAGGAGTGAGGGGCACAGCAGGGCTGGGGGGGCAGAGCTGGACGAGCAGGGGGCTGCGGGTCGGGAGAGGGGCACAGCAAGGCTGGGGGGGCAGAGCTGGACGAGCAGGGGGCTGCGGGTCGGGAGTTAGGGGCACAGCAGGGCTGGGGGGCAGAGCTGGACGAGCAGGGGGCTGCGGGTCGGGAGCGGGGGGCACAGCAAGGCTGGGGGGGCAGAGCTGGACGAGCAGGGGGCTGCGGGTCGGGAGCGGGGGGCACAGCAAGGCTGGGGGGGCAGAGCTGGACGAGTAGGGGGCTGCGGGTCGGGAGCGGGGGGCTCACCCAGGACGGCTGCGAAGCTTTGCTGGTCGATTAGGATCCAGAGGCCGAAGCTGAGGATGATACCACCCAGGAGCTGGGGGGGGAGAAAGGAGGGGTTACACTGGGGGGGGGGGTTGCTCTGGCACGGGCCCCCCAGCCCGGGGCACAGGGAGTTCATGGGCTAGTTGGTGGCTGGCCCCAAATCAGAGATGTCTGCCCCCCACCAGCCCCAGCTGCAGCCTCCCGCTTTAGCGCGAGTCCCATCTAGGGAGGGGCAGGGGAGAGCAACCCCCCCCAGCCCCAGGCCCTGCCCCCCCATCCGCCCATCACCCACACAGGCCCACCCCCCCCAGCCCCTTGGGCCCAGCCCAGGCCCCCCCACACTCACGAAGAAGAGGAGGTTGAAGAGGAAGAGGAAATATTTGGTGACGCTCAGACACCCCTGGGGAGACATGGCCGGACCTGTGGGGGGAGGGGGGGGACATTAATGCTCAGGTGCAGGGACCCCAGCCCCCCCCCAGACATGGACACCACGTACCTTGGGGCAGAGACAGCTGCTGCCCGCCCAGCCCCACAGAGACCCCACTATTCTGGGGGTGATGTCACAATGTGGGGGATGGGACACAGGACCTTCCCCCCCTCCCCCCGGATCCCGGGGCCCAGGCCCTCTGGGCGGGGGAAGGGCTGACAGCAGCAGTCGCTGGTTCCGGCTGATAAGGCAACTTCCCCTGCCCCCATCACCCGTCCCGGGCCCGGGCCCCACATCCTCTGTCGCTCCCCACAAAGGAAACCACACGGGCCCCATGTGCTCCTAACTCCCCTGGGCTGCTGTGCCGGTGCCCCTCACTCCCGACCCGCAGCCCCCTGCCAGCCCGGCCCTGCCCCCCCCAGCGCCCCTCACTCCCGACCCGCAGCCCCCTGCCAGCCCGGCCTGTCCCCCCCAGCGCCCCTCACTCCCGACCCGCAGCCCCCTGCCAGCCCGGCCTGTCCCCCCCAGCGCCCCTCACTCCCGACCCGCAGCCCCCTGCCAGCCCGGCCTGTCCCCCCGCAGCCCTGCCGGTGCCCCTCACTCCCAACCCGCAGCCCCCTGCCAGCCCAGCCTGTCCCCCCCCAGCGCCCCTCACTCCCGACCCGCAGCCCCCTGCCAGCCCGGCCCTGCCCCCCCCAGCGCCCCTCACTCCCGACCCGCAGCCCCCTGCCAGCCTGGCCCTGCCCCCCCCCAGCGCCCCTCACTCCCGACCCGCACCCCCTGCCAGCCCGGCCCTGCCCCCCCAGCGCCCCTCACTCCCGACCCGCAGCCCCCTGCCAGCCCGGCCCTGCCCCCCCAGCGCCCCTCACTCCCGACCCGCAGCCCCCTGCCAGCCCGGCCCTGCCCCCCCAGCGCCCCTCACTCCCGACCCGCACCCCCTGCCAGCCCGGCCCTGCCCCCCCCAGCGCCCCTCACTCCCGACCCGCAGCCCCCTGCCAGCCTGGCCCTGCCCCCCCCAGCGCCCCTCACTCCCGACCCGCACCCCCTGCCAGCCCGGCCCTGCCCCCCCCCAGCGCCCCTCACTCCCGACCCGCAGCCCCCTGCCAGCCCGGCCCTGCCCCCCCCAGCGCCCCTCACTCCCGACCCGCAGCCCCCTGCCAGCCCGGCCCTGCCCCCCCCAGCGCCCCTCACTCCCGACCCGCACCCCCTGCCAGCCCGGCCCTGCCCCCCCAGCGCCCCCTCACTCCCGACCCGCAGCCCCCTGCCAGCCCGGCCCTGCCCCCCCCCCCAGCGCCCCCTCACTCCCGACCCGCACCCCCTGCCAGCCCGGCCCTGCCCCCCCAGCGCCCCTCACTCCCGACCCGCAGCCCCCTGCCAGCCCGGCCCTGCCCCCCCCAGCGCCCCTCACTCCCGACCCGCAGCCCCCTGCCAGCCCGGCCTGTCCCCCCGCAGCCCTGCCGGTGCCCCTCACTCCCAACCCGCAGCCCCCTGCCAGCCCAGCCTGTCCCCCCCAGCGCCCCTCACTCCCGACCCGCAGCCCCCTGCCAGCCCGGCCTGTCCCCCCCAGCGCCCCTCACTCCCAACCCGCAGCCCCCTGCCAGCCCGGCCCTGCCCCCCCAGCGCCCCCTCACTCCCGACCCGCAGCCCCCTGCCAGCCCGGCCCTGCCCCCCCCCAGCGCCCCTCACTCCCGACCCGCAGCCCCCTGCCAGCCCGGCCTGTCCCCCCGCAGCCCTGCCGGTGCCCCTCACTCCCAACCCGCAGCCCCCTGCCAGCCCAGCCTGTCCCCCCCCAGCGCCCCCTCACTCCCGACCCGCAGCCCCCTGCCAGCCCGGCCCTGCCCCCCCCAGCGCCCCTCACTCCCAACCCGCAGCCCCCTGCCAGCCCGGCCTGTCCCCCCCCCGCGCCCCTCACTCCCAACCCGCAGCCCCCTGCCAGCCCGGCCCTGTCCCCCCCCAGCCCTACCGGTGCCCCTCACCCCCTGGCGCTCCCAGGAACGGATCTGGTTCTGGTTTCCCGACTTTCGGTACCCTGCCCAGCCCTGCAGCATCAGGCGGACCCAGGCGTCCGGGCGTGGCAGGGGGAGGGCCCCAGGGTGCAGGATTCATGGCTCAGCGACACCTGAACCCGGGGCCAAATGGGGGTGAGCTAGTGTCGGGCCCCCCGCCCCAACCCCCCCGTAGGCAGGAGTCCCCCCCCACCCCCCGCTGGGATCCTGCAGCCTCTACCCCCCATTCCCCCCCCGCTCTGGCGTGGGGCAAGGCTCTGGAGGAAGGGAAAGATAATGGCTTTAGCTCGCTTGGCCTGGCCCCCCGGCCCCCCCAGCCTGCAGCACACTGGGCTCCCCGCCCTGCGCCCCACTGCCATGGCCCCCCCCAGCCACGCGCCCCCCCCCGCGGATTTTCCATCCTTGCCTCATAATTCGCCCCCAAAACACATTTTTATTTAGACTTCTGTACCCCCCCAACTCCCCCGCCCCCCCCATGTGGGGGGGTCACTCACCGGGCTGGGGAGCCCCCCAGGAGGAGCAGCGTCGGGGGCGGCAAGGGCTCGGGCTCCGTCTGCTCCGTCCCCCCCAGCAAAGTTTCAAAACTTGGTCTCGTCCCCGCCCCCGCTCGCAGCTGATTGGTCCAGGCGATGCCGGGGCGTTAACGATAAATAATCGCCCCCCCCCGGCCCCGGCCGGATCCGCTTATGATGGATCCGCGTCGCCCTACGGTGGGGAGACGGGCGGGGCGGTGGGGCGGGGGGGCGAGCGAGCCCGGGGGGGGGGCGCTGGGAGACCCCGCGGCCCCGCGGGGGGGCGGCCCGCGGCTCCAGCAGCCGGGCCCGGCTAGCCCCGCCCCCAACCGCGCGTCAGCCCCGCCCCCCCCGCCTCCTGACCCCCCCCCGCCGGGCCCCCATCGCCCTTGAACCCCGCCCCGCCAGGTGACGCCTAGAACCGGCGGGGGGGCGGGGAGACGCGGCGCGGGGGGGGCCGAGGAGGAGACGCGGCGCGGGGCGGTCCGCGGGGGGGCGGGGAGACGCGGGGGGGCCGAGGAGGAGACGCGGCCTGGGGGGGCCGCGGGGGGGGCGGGGAGACGTGGCGCGGGGGGGGGGCGGGGAGACGCTGTCCCGCCCCCGGCTGATGCAAGGCGCCTCCGAGCCACGCTGGCCCCGCGCCCCCCGCCCGGCGGCAGGTGGGACCCCGCCTGGGCTGGGGCCGTTGGGGGGGCTCCTAGCGGGGGGGCTGGGGCCGTTGGGGGGGCTCCTAGCGGGGGGGCTGGGGCCGTTGGGGGGCTCCTAGCGGGGGGGCTGGGGCCGTTGGGGGGGCTCCTAGCGGGGAGGGGGTCCCAGGGGCTGGGGCCCTTGGGGGGCTCTTAGTGGGGGGTGTCCCCAGGGGCTGGGGCTCCTGGGTACACCCCTGTGCCCCCCCTTTTCTCAGGGGGTGACTAGTTCTGTTGAAATTGATTGTGGGAACCCGGACTCCTGGGTTCTGTCCCTGGCTGGGGGGGGCTGGAGCGATACCCATATGTTGTGCGTTTCACCCTAATTATCCTGCTGCGTCCCAGCACCGGGCGAGGGGTCCCTGTGTGCCCAGCCCCCGCGCCTCCCCCCAGAGTCAGCCGCGTCCCAGCCCCCCTTGCGTGAAGAGCCCCCTCCGTCCTAATCACTCCCTTGGTTTTGTTTCTCGCAGGGTTTCATTCGGGCTCTGGGGGCCGGTGAGTGAATGTGACCGGGGGGGGGAGTTGCAGGGGGGCTGTGTGTGCGGGGGGGGTGTTGGTAAGTGCGCGCAGGTGGGTGGTTCCCGGGGCCGGTGGGAGCGGGTGTGAACGAGCGTGCGAGCGAGTGTTCAGGCACGGGCTGTTCCCGTGCCTGGCCCCGGCCCCGGCCCCGGCCCCTTCCCGCCTGCCATGGAGAAGGTGAAGCCGGAGGAGGAGGGGACGAGCCCCGAGGAGCCCCCCGCCCGCCCGGCCTGGAGCAACAAGGCCGAATACATCCTGGCACAGGTCGGCTTCTCCGTGGGCCTTGGCAACGTCTGGCGCTTCCCCTACCTATGCCACCAGAACGGCGGAGGTGAGTGGGGGGCCCGGAGGGGGTCTCAGTGGTGGGGGGCGGGGCTGGGGAATGGGGGGCAGGAAAAGGTTGATGGGGGTGGAGGTCTGGGGTCTCCAGGAGTGTCTCTCTGGGGGGAGAGGGGGGGGTTGGGGTTTCTGTGGGCGGCTCCAGACCTGTAACCTCCCCCCGCCCCACAGGAGCCTTCATTCTCCTCTACCTCCTGATCCTCCTGGTGGTGGGGATCCCCCTCTTCTTCCTGGAGCTGGCGGCCGGGCAGAGCATCCGCCAGGGCAGCATCGGGGTCTGGCAGCACTTCAGCCCCCGCCTGGTCGGCATCGGTTTCGCCAGCTGCGTGGTGAGTGCGGGGGGACCCTCAGGGCACTGCTGCGGGGAAGCTCGCAGCACCGACGGGAAAATTCCTGCTGGGGGGCCTGGCCCGGTACTGGGAAACGGGTCCCCATGTCCCTGCCCCACTCTGGGGGGGAGAGGGTGTCCCAGCCCCAGGGAAGGGGTCCCTGTGTGCCCAGGCCCGTCCCAGTGCCGGGCAAGGGGTCCCCAGCCAGGCTCACCCCTGTCTCTGTGCCAGGTCTGCGGGTTCGTTTCTCTCTATTACAACGTGATCATCGCCTGGAGCCTCTTCTACCTCGTTAACTCCTTCCGCTCCACCCTGCCCTGGGCCAGCTGCCCCCTCGGCGCCAACCACAGCCAGCCAGGTGGGTGCTACAGCCCGGCCCCCGCCTGCCACTGGGGGGCGCCACCCTCCCTCCGGGCCCCGGCCACCGGCGCTGCTGCAGTTGGAGTCGGGGGGCGCTGCCCGGTTCTGACCCGGCTGGGCTGTGGGGTGGGGGGGGGAGGCTGGGCTGAAGGGGGGAGGGCGATGCTGCCCGGTTCTGACCCGGCCGGGCCGGGGGCGCTGCCCGGTTCTGACCCGGCCGGGCCAGGGGGCGCTGCCCGGTTCTGACCCGGCCGGGCCGGGGGGGGGCGCTGCCCGGTTCTGACCCGGCCGGGCCGGGGGGGGGCGCTGCCCGGTTCTGACCCGGCCGGGCCGGGGGGGGGCGCTGCCCGGTTCTGACCCGGCCGGGCCGGGGGCGCTGCCCGGTTCTGACCCGGCCGGGCTCTGTGTTGGCAGAACCTGAATGTGCCCAGAGCTCCCCCACCACCTACTTCTGGTACCGGAAGGCGCTGGACGTGAGCGGGTCGATCAGCGCCAGCGGGGGGGTGAGCCCGGCCCTGGCCGGCTGCCTGCTGGCTGCCTGGGCCCTGGTCTGCGGCGCCCTCATCCGGGGCATCAAGTCCTCCGGCAAGGTGAGCTCTCCCCCCCCCCCCCAGTGCCCCCTCGGCTCACTGCCACCCCCACTGCCCCCCCGGCTCATTGCCACCCCCACTGCCCCCTTCCCCTGCTCCCCTCAGCTCACTGCCACCCCCACTGCCCCCCTGACCCCACACTACCCCCTCCCCCTGCCCCCCCGGCTCATTGCCCCCCCCACTGCTCCCCTATTGCCCTCCATCCCGCTGCCCCCCCGTCCCATTGCGACCTCAGACTGCCCCCCGGGCCTCCTTCCCCGACCCCTGTTGCCCTCCTACTGCCCCTCCTTCCATCACGCCCCACTGATCCCTCCCCCCACCCTGCTGCCATCCTCCTCATTACCCCCCTGTCTGTCTGGGGTGGTCAGGGGGTCAGGCCCAGATGCTGGGGAGGCTTGTGGGGGACTAACCCATAACACTCCCTCCCCCTCCCCCCCAGATGTGGGAGGATTCGGGATGGGGTGAGCTGGGGGGGGACGTTGGGGCGCAGAGTGAGAGCCCCCCCTCACTGCCCTCCTCCCCCCCAGGTGCTGTATTTCAGCTCCCTCTTCCCCTACGTGGTGCTGCTCTGCTTCCTGGTGCGGGGGCTGCTGCTGGACGGGGCGGCCGACGGTGTCCGCATCATGTTCACCCCCCAGGTGAGCACAGCGCCGGCCCCCCCCTCATCCCTGGCCGGATCCCCCGGCACGAGCGCCGGCCCCCCCCTCATCCCTGGCCGGATCCCCCGGCACGAGCGCCGGCCCCCCTCATCCCTGGCCGGATCCCCCGGCACGAGCGCCGGCCCCCCCCTCATCCCTGGCCGGATCCCCCGGCACGAGCGCCGGCCCCCCCCTCATCCCTGGCCGGATCCCCCGGCACGAGCGCCCGACTGCAATCCCTGGCACGAACCCCCCCCAACTGGATCGGGTCCCCCTACTCTCCCCGGGGCTGGAGCGCCGGGACCCCCCGCCGGGGCTGCAGGTGCCCGGCCCGTGGCTCACGCCCGGCTGCCCGCAGCTGGCAATCTGGGGCGACATGCAGGTCTGGCGCCAGGCGGCCACCCAGGTCTTCTTCTCGCTGGGGCTGGGCTTCGGGAGCGTCATCGCTTACTCCAGCTACAACGCCCGGTACAACAACTGCCATGCTGACGGGCTGCTGGTGGCCGGCATCAACTTCCTCACCTCGCTGCTGGCCACCCTGGTCGTCTTCGCCGTGCTGGGCTTCCGGGCCACCGCCGTCGCCAGGGCCTGCGTGGCAAGGTGAGCCGCTCCCCCCCCCCATGCCCGTCCCCCGCGCCCGGCACGCGCTGACTGGCCTCTCCCCTCCGTCCGCCCCCCAGGAACATGGAGATGCTGGCCCAGCTGCTGGGGACCGGGGCCCTGCCCACCCTGGGCCCGCCCACCCTGGACCCGGTAGCGCTGTCCCCACCACAGTACAGCGCCTGGTACCACAGGCTGCCCCCCGAGCTGGGCACTGCGCTGCAGGGACACGGCATCACCGACTGCCGGCTGGAGGACGAGATGAACAAGGTGCCCAGGGACGGGGGAGGGTCCCCGTGCACCCTGACCCCGGGGTGGGGGGGAGGCTGTGTAACCCGCACCCCGACCCAGGAGGGGGGGCCCCGTGTACCCTGCTCCCCACCTGGAGGGGGGCCCCATGTACCCACGCCCAACCACGGAGAACAGCACAATAAAGACAGTGGATTTCAGGAAAGCAGACTGTAGCAAACTCAGGGAGTTGGTAGGTAAAATCCCCTGGGAAGCAAGTCTAAGGGGAAAAACAATTGATGCCAGTCGGCCATTTTTCAAGGAGACGTTATTAAGGGCACAAGAGGAAACTATCCCCCTGTGTCGGAGAGATGGGAAGTCTGGCCCGAGACCACCCTGGCTTAACCAGGAGATTGTCAATGATCTAAAACTCAGTAGAGTCCTACAAAAACTGGAAACTCGGTCAAATTACAAAGGGTGAATATAAACAAATAACACAAGTATGTAGGGACCAAATCTGAAAGGCCAAGGCACAGAGCGAGATCAAACTAGCTAGGGACATAAAAGGAAACAAGAAAACTTTCTACACATACCTTAGAAGAAGACCAAGGATAGGGTAGGCCCGTTACTCGATGAGGGGCGAAAGACAATAACCGAAAACGTGGAAATGGCAGAGGTGCTTAATGACTTCATGGTTTCGGTTTTCACCAAGAAGGTTGGTGGTGATCAGACGTCTAACATAGTCAATGCCAGTGAGAATGAGGTAGGATCAGTGTCTAAAATAAGGAAAGAACAAGTCAAAAATGACTTAGACAAGTTAGATGTCTTCAAATCACCAGGCCCGATGAAATGCGTCCTGGAATACTCCAGGAGCTGACTGAGGAGATATTGGAGCCATTAGCGATTATCTCTGAAAAGTCCTGGAGAAAGATTCCAGAAGACTGGAAAAGGGCAAATCTAGTGCCCGTCTATACAAAGGGGAATAAGGACAACCCAGGGAATTACAGACCCTTCAGCTTAACTTCTGTACCCGGAAAGATAATGGAGCAAATAATTAAGCAATCAATTTGCAAACATCTAGAAGATAAGGTGATAAGTGACAGTCAGCATGGATTTGTCAAAAACAAATCGTGTCAAATCAACCTGAAAGCTTTCTTGGACAGGGTAACAAGCCTCATGGCTGGGGGGAAGCGGCTGACCTGCTATATCTTGACTTTAGTGAAGTTTTGATACTGTCTTGCGTGACCTTCTCATAAACAAACCAGGGAAATGCAACTTAGATAGAGTTACTATAAGGCGGGTGCAAAACTGGTTGGAAACCTGTTCCCAGAGCGTAGTTATCTGTGGTTCCCAGTCATGCGGGAAAGGCATCATGAGCGGGGTCCTGCAGGGATCGGTTCTGGGTCCGGTTCTGTTCAATATCTTCAGCAAGGATTTAGATAATGGCACAAAGAGGACACTGTAAAGTTTGCGGACGATACCGAGCTGGGAGGGGTTGCAAGTACTTTGGGGAATAGGATTAAACTTCAAAACGATCCGGACAAACTGGAGAAATGGCCGGAAGTAAATCGGATGAAATTCAGTCAGGACAAATGCAAAGTTCTCCACTTCGGAAGGAACAATCAGTTGCACGCATACAAAACAGCAGCGACGGCCTAGGAAGGGGTCCTGCGGAAAGGGATCCGGGGGTCAGAGTGGATCACAAGCTGAATATGAGTCAACCGTGTCACGCTGCTGCAGAAAAAGCGAACCTCATTCTGGGCTGTAGCAGCAGGAGCGTTGTAAGCCAGACGCGAGAAGCGAATCGTCCGCTCTGCTCCGCGCTGATCTGGTCTCAGGTGGAGTATCGGGTCCAGTTCTGGGCGCCACGTTTCAGGAGAGAGGGGGCCAAATTGGAGAAGGTCCAGAGAAGAGCGAGAAAAATGATTCAAGGTCTAGAAAACACGCGCTCTGGGGGAAGATTGGAAAAACTGGGGTTTGTTTAGTCTGGAGAGGAAAAGACCGAGAGGGGACATGAGAACAGCCTTATGATTCTAGATACCCATGCCCCACCCCAGGGGGGCCGCATCCCTGCACCGGGTGAGAGGCCCCCCACCCCGGGGGGGCCCATATACCCAGCTCCGGCGCCCTACCCCAGAGGAGCCGCATCCCTGCGCCGGGTGAGGGGCCCCTGTACCCCGATCCAGGGGGGGCCCGTACACCCAACTCCAGCGTCTCACCCCAGAGGACCCGCAGCCCAGCGCCAGGCGAGGGGTCCCCGGGTACCCAGTGCCTAACCCGGTCTCCATCACTCCCCCACAGGGCGTGGAGGGCACCGGCCTGGCCTTCATCACCTTCACGGAGGCCATGACCCTGTTCCCGGCCTCCCCGTTCTGGTCCGTCCTCTTCTTCCTCATGCTGCTGAACCTGGGGCTGAGCACCATGCTGGGGAACATGCAGGGCATCCTCACCCCCCTGCTGGACCGCTACCCCACCCTGCAGCGCCGTGCCGCCCTCTTCACCGGTAGGGCGGGGCCCGGGGGGGGAGCGGGGGTATGTGCATGACTCTGCACGTGGGGGGATTTGCACATGAATGGGGGAAGATTTCTGGGGTGCCAGGCTCTGCCCCCCAGTGCAGCAGGGGGAACGTGGGGGGTCCCAGGCTGTCTTGCCCTAGGGTTGCCCCGGTTTTCACTGCCGACCAGGCCGTTAAAAGTCCAGGCAGTGGGGCTAAGCAGCTCCCGGAAGCGGCCCCCAATGCCAGCTCCACAGCTCCAGGGGGCTGCAGGGACCTGGGAGCCACGGTAAGCGCTGACGGGACCCCCTGCCCCAGCCCGGAGCCCCCTCCTTCATCCCAAACCCCTCATCTCTGGCCCCACTCCAGAGCCCTCCCCACACCCCAACCCCCTGCCCCAGCTCAGAGCCCGCCCCCCCAGCTGGATCCCATGCCCCCTCCCACACTCCAAACCCTGGGCCCCAGCCTGGTGAAAGGGTGGGGGAGATGGAGTGAGCAGGGGTGGGGCCTTGGGGAAGGGGTGGGGGCAGGGGCGGAGCCAAAGTGTTCAGTTTTGTGCTATTAGAAAGTTGGGAACCCTACTCTGCCCCCCAGTACTGTGGGGGGTATGCGAGGGACCCAGGCTCTCCCCCCAACCCAGTGCTGTGCTGAGACGTGGGGGTCCCAGGTTCTCTCTCTCCCCTCCCCAGTGCTGTGTTGTGGGGGGACGTGGGGGTCCCAGGCTCTCTCTCTCTTCCCCCCCTCCGTGCTGTGTTGTGGGGGGACGTGGGGGTCCCAGGCTCGCTCTCTCTCCCCCCCGTGCTGTGTTGTGGGGGGACGTGGGGGTCCCAGGCTCCCCGCCCCGTGCTGTGTTGTGGGGGGACGTGGGGGTCCCAGGCTCTCTCTCTCTCCCCCCCCCTCCCCCCCAGTGCTGTGTTGTGCCGGCGGGTTCCTGCTGGGGCTGATGTTCGTGCAGCGCTCGGGCAGCTACTTCGTCTCCATGTTCGACGACTACTCGGCCACCCTGCCCCTGGTGGCCGTCGTGGCCTGCGAGGCCGTGTCCGTGGCCTGGGTCTACGGGGCGGACAGGTACCAGCCCCTCCTTCCCCCTCCCCCCCCGGGGGTCCTTTTCCCTCCCCTCCAGGCCTACAGGGTGAACAGGTACCCGCCCCTCCCTCCTCCCGGGGCCCCCTGCCCTTCCCCCTCAAGGGTCTCTCTCCTCCCCACTGGGGCCTGGCTCTATGGGGTGCACAGGTGCCCCCTCCCAGGCCCCGCCCCTGGAGCCCTTCTCCCTTGACCCCCGGTTCCCCCTGGGCCCAACCTCTGAACCCCTCCCCCGCCGACCTCTGCCCTTCCCCCCCCATGGCCTGGCTTTGTGGGGGGGCTGGGGAGCCCCAGGCCTGGCCCCCCTCCCCCATGGCTGACCCCTGTCCCCCTGCAGGTTCCTGGGGGAGGTGGAGATCATGCTGGGCTGGAAGCCCTGGGGCCGGGGCTGGCGGCCCTGGCGGGTCTACGGCTGCATGTGGCGTTACAGCAGCCTGCTGGCCATGCTGGGGCTGCTGCTGGCCAGCCTGGGGCAGATCTGCCGCAGCCCCCCAACCTACCAGGCCTGGGACCGGGCGCAGGTGAGACCCCCCCGCCGGGGAGGCGGGATGCCGGGGCGGAAGGGCCCGTGGGTCGGGTCTGGGCGGGGCGGAGGGGCTTGTGGGTCAGGTCTGGGTGCAGGGAGCCATGGGTTGGGTCTGGGCGGGGAGGTGGGACGCCGGGGCGGAGGGGCCCGTGGGTCGGATCTGGGCGGGAAGCCGAGGCAGATGGGCCCATGGGTCAGGTTTGCATGCGGGGAGCCTTGGGTCGGGTCAGGGCGGGGAGGCAGGGCAGAGGGGCCCGTGGATTGCGTCTGGGCGGGGAGGCGGGGCAGAGGGGCCCGTGGGTCGGGACGCTGGGGCAGATGGGCCCGTGGGTCAGGTTTGCGTGCGGGGAGCCTTGGGTCGGGTCAGGGCGGGGAGGCGGGGCAGAGGGGCCCGTGGATTGCGTCTGGGCGGGGAGGCGGGGCAGAGGGGCCCGTGGGTCGGGGAGCCGGGACGCCGGGGCAGATGGGCCCGTGGGTCAGGTTTGCGTGCGGGGAGCCTTGGGTCGGGTCAGGGCGGGGAGGCGGGGCAGAGGGGCCCGTGGATTGCATCTGGGCGGGGAGGCGGGGCAGAGGGGCCCGTGGGTCGGGGAGCCGGGACGCCGGGGCAGATGGGCCCGTGGGTCAGGTTTGCGTGCGGGGAGCCTTGGGTCGGGTCAGGGCGGGGAGGCGGGGCAGAGGGGCCTGTGGATTGTGTCTGGGCGGGGAGGCGGGGCAGAGGGGCCCGTGGGTCGGGGAGCCGGGACGCCGGGGCAGATGGGCACACAGGCCCTGGCAGGTTTGACCCTCGGCCTGTCTCGCAGGCGGAGGAGACGCGGGTGCCGTACCCGCCCTGGGCGCTGGCCATGCTGATCTTGCTCATCGTCGTCGCCACCCTGCCCATCCCCGCGCTCTACCTCCGGCAGCTGGCGTGGGAGTGGCAGGCGCGGCACCGCCAGCAGGGGGCGCCCCCCCGAGGGGAGCGGGAGCTGGAGCTGGAGGAGGCGGAGAGCCCGGCTGACCCCGAGCGCTCGGCCAACGGGTACCTGCCCGTCCGCACCCAGGAGCCCCCGGGGCGGGCAGAAGAGGCCAGGGCCCCCCTACGGGGGGGGGCAAAGTAAGGGGGGGGATAAGGGGGTGGAGGGCAAAGGTCAGAGGTCATTGGAGGGGAGCGTCTGTGACCCCTCCCCATGAGTGGGGCTGGCTCTCCATGGTGTGCGCCCCCCTGCCCAGGGCAGGCGCTAGGCCCGATTGGGGGAGCTGGGAGAGAGCGAAGGACTCCCATTGGTGGGTCACAAGAAGGCACCTTCTCTGATTGGTGGAGGGGGAAGTGCTGATCACTTGCTGCCTGGAGCCAAAAGACCAATAAGGGGAAGGAAGAACAAAGCAACCCCCGATTGGCAGACCCATGCGGTGCAGCGGCCTCTGATTGGTGGAGCAAAATACTGCTGGCTCTGATTGGTGGGCTGAGGAAGATTTCTCCCCCACCCCGCCCTCCAATGGGAGGGAGGGGAGACCAACTTGCTGTGCAGGGTCCCCTCACCCCCTTCTCCCTTCTTTACACTGGGGGTGGCCATGTTGTTCCCAGGGCATTGCCCGGGGGCGGCCATGTTGTCTTCCTCCTAATGCCACCCGCCCTGGGGCACGTGTCCCATCCTCTGTCCCCGTCTTTGGGGCCTTCTTAGAAACGTGGTGCTAACTAACCCCTCTCCTGTCGGGTCTGGAGCCACCAGCCCCCCACGCTTGCCAAGCCTGGCCTAGCTGGGCCCCACACAAGTGCCTACGCCTCTGCGGGTACAGGGGGCGTCTGTTGCCAAGATATGGGGCCAGATTTCGTTGTTGGGGTCCAGGCCATTTTCCCCATCTGTAAAATGGGGGTCGCGCCTCCTTGAGCTGTTTAGATTGTAAATTTCTCAGAGCAGGGTGATCTCGCTGGGCTACTGAGCAGTTTGAGGGGTGAGGGGGGGAGAATCTGGAAATCTTTTGCCCACTCTTTGGGACCTCTTGCTGGCCCGCAGGTGCCAGGGCTGGGCTGGAGTTCCAGGGGCGGAGGGCGTGGAAGGGTGTGTTATTGACTGTATTGTTTTCATGGTGCTATTCTTACCTGAAGAATAAAGGTGTTTTGCTCACGCCAAGCAGGGTGGTGATTGCGAGCCCGTGGGGAGAGACCAGAGCGCACCCCAGGCAGCTGCGGGTGACGGCAGTAGAGCCCTGACTAGGTTGTGGGAGGAGATGTGGGCGCAGCGGCCCTGCCCGGTGCCCCAGGGTTACATGGAGCTGGGGTGATGGCTGCTCCCTAGCGCTATGCCATGGCACGTGTGTGGCACCCACTGTGCGCCCCGCCACCGCCTTCGCTCCACGTGGGCTCCGCTCAATCATGCGAGCAGGGCAATGGCCTGGGGCCGACGACTGCCTCTTGCGGCCCATGGGTGTGTGGCTGAGGCTCCCGTCCGCAGTGCCCCCAGGATGGCCCTGAGCTGGGCGGGTCTTGTCCCCAGTGTTCAGGGCATGGCCCGGAGCCTCTCACGGAGTGTGGGGGAGATAAGGCCCTACACCCCCCACTTCCTGCGATTCACTGTGACTCTCAGCCGGCCAGTAACACAGAAGGTTCATTAGCCGACAGGATCACAGCCCAAAACAGAGCTTGTAGGTACAGAGACCAGGACCCCTCAACCGGGTCCCTCTGTGGGGGTGGGGAGCCCAGACCCAGGTTCTGGGTGTCCCCAGCCAGCCCCAAAGGGAAACCTCTTCCCGCTGCCTCCCCAGTGTCACCTGCCCCCAGCCCCCTCCTGGGCTCAGGTTATGGAGGGAAACCGCCCCCCTTTGTGCTGGCCGCCAGGTATCGTCCCTCACCGAAGTCACCCCTGTGCTTCCCATCCCCAGCTCGTGTCGGTGCAGCCCCCCAGGGAAACTGAGGCATGCCCCGTGTTAGCAGAGACAGTAAACTAGTAACACTCCCCCCACCCGGCCCCGTCCCGGGGTCTCGGCCCCGGTGCTCCCAGCGGGGCCCTGAGCTGGGCGGGTCTCGGTGCCCCTGGCAGGGACGTGCCTGGGCTGGGGGGGCACAAAAGGGAGCGGGTCACAGGGAGGGTCATGAAGGGGTCAGCAGGTCAGGGCTGGGTCAGAGGTCACGTGGGGTGGGGGTCATGGTGGGGTCAAGACAGGCTCGGGGTCACAGGAGGGGTGGGTCCAGGGGTTAGAGGTCACTGGGGTCAGGGGCACCATGGGGCAGGGTGAGAGGTCACGTGGGGTCAGGGGTCACAGGCCGGCTTGTCTCGCTGTCCCTTTAATCCCCAATGTGTGTGACGTCACTTCCTGCTTCTCCGTCACGTGCCCCCGCCGGTTCCCTTCCGCCCGCGTGACGCAGAGGACACGTCACCGCCCCGCCCGTCGCTCACGGGAACCTCCCCCGGCTCCTCCCCCTCCCGCCCGCGCGGGTCACGTGAGCCCGGCGGGCTGCGATCACGTGGGGGCGGCGATGGCGGCGGCTCCGGGCGGGGAGAGCGAGAGCGAGAGCGGCCGGGGGGGCGGCGGTGAGCGGGGGGCGGGGCTCGGACGCCTGGGTCCCCTCGTTGGTGGGGGGGGCGGCTTGGAGCCCGGACGCCTGGGTCCTCTCCCCGGTGGGGGCTCGGAGCCCGGACGCCTGGGTCCTCTCCCCGGTGGGGGCTGGGGCGGGGGGGGGGGGCTCGGAGCCCGGACGCCTGGGTCCTCTCCCCGGTGGGGGCTGGGGCGGGGGGGGGGCTCGGAGCCCGGACGCCTGGGTCCTCTCCCCGGTGGGGGCTGGGGCGGGGGGGGGCTCGGAGCCCGGACGCCTGGGTCCTCTCCCCGGTGGGGGGCTGGGGGGGGGGGGGGCTCGGAGCCCGGACGCCTGGGTCCTCTCCCCGGTGGGGGGCTGGGGCGGGGGGGGGGCTCGGAGCCCGGACGCCTGGGTCCCCTCAGCACCCCTGTGACGGGGGCTCCGGGCCCGGGTCTGTCTCTGTGCAGGGGCCACGTCGGATCAAATCCTGCAGACGGGAGCGGTGCTGCTGCAGGGGTGAGCGGGGCCGTGTCCGGGCCATGTTGGGGGGCTGGGGGTTCAGGTATGGGCTGTGTCAGCGGGCTGGGGGTTCAGGGACGGGGCCGTGTCGGGGGGCTGGGGGTTCAGGGACGGGGCTGTGTTGGGGGCTGGGGGTTCAGGGACGGGGCTGTGTTGCGGGGGGACGGGGCCGTGTCGGGGGGCTGGGGGTTCAGGGACGGGGCTGTGTTGCGGGGGGGACGGGGCCGTGTCGGGGGCTGGGGGTTCAGGGACGGGGCTGTGTTGCGGGGGACGGGGGTTCAGGGACGGGGCTGTGTTGCGGGGGACGGGGCCGTGTCGGGGCTGGGGTTCAGGGACGGGGCCGTGTCGGGGGCTGGGGGTTCAGGGACGGGGCTGTGTTGCGGGGGGACGGGGCTGTGTCGGGGGGCTGGGGGTTCAGGGACGGGGCTGTGTTGCGGGGGGACGGGGCCGTGTCGGGGGGCTGGGGGTTCAGGGATGGGGCTGTGTCAGCGGGCTGGGGGTTCAGGGACGGGGCTGTGTCGGGGGGCTGGGGGTTCAGGGACGGGGCTGTGTTGCGGGGGGACGGGGCCGTGTCGGGGGGCTGGGGGTTCAGGGACGGGGCTGTGTTGCGGGGGGACGGGGCTGTGTCGGGGGGCTGGGGGTTCAGGGACGGGGCTGTGTTGCGGGGGGACGGGGCCGTGTCGGGGGGCTGGGGGTTCAGGGACGGGGCTGTGTTGCGGGGGGACGGGGCCGTGTCAGGGGGCTGGGGGTTCAGGGATGGGCTGCGTTGCGTAGGGGGATGGGGCCGTGTTGGGAGGGACAGGGCCATTCGGGGGACTGGGGGTTTGGGGAGGGGGATGGGGCTGTGTTGGGGGGGACAGGGCCATTCAGGGGACTGGGGATTTGGGGAGGGGGACGGGGCCGTGTCGGGGGGCTAGGGGTTCCTGGCCGGGGCCGTGTTGGGGAGGAGGATGGGGCCATGTTGGGGAGCTGGGGGTTTGGGGGCTGTGTCTCGGCGTCGGGCGCCCCGCTGACGCCGTCCCCCCGTGGCAGGTTCATCCGGGACCGGGTCCAGCGCTGCGGGGACTCCCAGGCTGTGGAGCTGAGCCGGGCAGAGCTGGGGGGGCCGGAGCCCCCCCCCTGCGACGAGAACACCAAGCGGCTCAGCGAGTGCCTGCGGCGCATCGGGGACGAGCTCGACAGCAACACCGAGCTGCAGAGGTGGGGGCGACTCCCCCCCATCTCACCCCCCCTGCCCTGGGGGGCCTGCCCCATCTGGTTCCACGGGGCTCTACGGCCTCTGGCAGCCCCCTCTGCTTTGTGCCAGCCCCACAGAGCCCCCCTCTCCTCCGGGTCTCTCCTAGGTCCCCCTCCGGACTCCTGGGTCCATCTGTCTGCCCAGGGCAGTCTCCAGCCTCGCCCAGCTGCCTGCCCCAGCTCCTTTGGGTACCTGTTGCTTTCCTCCTCCCCACTCCATCCACCCCCAGACAAGTCTCAACCCTCCCTGACTCCAGCTGCCCCCTCTTCCAAATTAACCCTTCTCCAAGTAGGGAAACTGAGGCAGATGTTCTCACCTTTTCGGCCCCTCTTCCTCTGGGGCGGCAGGATTGTCCCCCGGCAGTCGGCGGGGTCTGTTCCCCCCAGCCCATGGAGGGGTAACACCCCCCCTCGGCATGGTTCTAACCCTCTGTCCCCCACAGTATGATTGACCGGGTGGGGACCCACGCCCCCAAGGACGTCTTCTTCCGGGTGGCCGCTGAGATGTTCTCCGACGGGACCTTCAACTGGGGCCGGGTCGTGGCGCTCTTCTACTTCGCCTGCAAGCTGGTGCTCAAGGTGGGGCGGCGGGGAGACCCCTCCCTTTCCTCCCCCCCAAGCTGTGAAACCCCTGCCACCCCTCCCCGTGACCTTCTGCTACCCCTCCCCTGGCTGTGAGGTCCCTCCCACCCCCTACAGCCCTTCTGCTACCCCCTTCCCCTGGCTGTGAGACCCCTCGCCACCGGACACACCCCGGCTGCCCCTCCCCTTTCGGATATGCGCCCCCTTCCCCGCTGCTGCTGACCCCTCCCACTGGTTCACCTGCTGCCCCCCTCTCCTCCCAGGCTCTGTGCACCAAGGTCCCGGAGCTGGTGCGGACCATCGTGGGCTGGACGTTGGAGTACCTCCGGGAGCATGTGCTGGCCTGGATCCAGGCCCAGGGAGGATGGGTGAGTCCAGCCAGAGCTGCCCTCCTTCCCCCCTTGCCTACCAGGCTGCATGCAAATGAGGCACTGTTCTCATTTGCATAGCTAGCGAAGGTCCCTGAGTCGTCCGTGTGACTGGGTGCCTGGTAGGGCCGCGCGACCTCCAAAGCCGGTGGGTTATTCCACAGTTAGATTCACCAAACCGGTAACGAAACCCCTTCGGCGGCGCCAGGCTGGTTAACCAGAAACCAGCCACACCCCGTGGCTCCCGTCCACCTGCACTGGGCTGATCTAGCGAGGGGTGGCTGAGCGCCTAATTCACCCTGCGTCAGGTTCTCCCCGTCCCAAGGCATCAGACGCTTCCCCCCACAGCTCAGCCCGTGTCCTGGCCTTTCCCCAAACCCCACTCTGCCGGCCCGTCCTCCAGTTCTAACTGGGGTTCGGGAACCACAACCCTTCGGGCAGGTTCCCTGCAGGATGCGACCAGCTCGCGGCGTCTCTCTGGGGACTTACAGGAGCTGGGCAGGGCCTCGGGCCGTAGCTCAAAATGCTCCTTGTGCTTGGAAATCCGCGGGCCAGAAAATCAGTGATGCACTGGAGCCGTGGCCGGGGGTTTTTATGTCCTCAGCCACGGGCCTGGGAAGGGACTAGCCCAAACGCAGGTCCTGCACGTGGAAAGTCACTAGCCAAGCTGGAGTCTGAGCTCACAGGGCCCCGAGGTGTGTGGCTGGGTGGCCGGGGTGACCGATGGCCCCTCGCTGTCCGAGGAGAAGGGCTCACTGGAGAATTGACTCGCGCTGGGCTGACGGGGGTGGGTGGAAAGTGCCCTGTGGGCGTCGTGTCGTTCCCCCCCCCCCCCCAGGAACAAACCCAGCCAGGATACGAACGCAGAGCCAACGTGCCCAGAGACAGCCTAGAGTCCTGGCTCCCAGCACCCCCGCTAACCACTAGACCACACTCCCCTGAGAGCCGGTCAGAGAACCCAGGAGTCCTGGGTGCCAGATCCCCCCACTCCCTCCCACCCCACTAGACCCCCCTCTCCTCCCAGAACTAGGGAGAGAACCCAGGAGTCCTGGCTCCCAGCCCAGTTCCAAACGCTCTAGACGCTGCTGCCTCCCAGCGACCCCCAAACCGTTGTGCGGCGCTGCCCCCTCCCCAGAGCCAGCCGCATGTCAGCCTCATTCCCATGACGGTTCAGTGGTGCCCTTTGCTCTCCCCCCCACCCAGGACGGCCTCCTCTCCTATTTCGGCACGCCCACCTGGCAGACCATCACCATCTTCGCTGCCGGCGTTCTCACCGCCTCCCTCACCATCTGGAAGATGTCGTAGGGCGGGGAGGGGTGCGCTCCGCAGCACCCCACGTCCGGCCGGACTGCGCTGGGCTCCCGGGGGGCCGGCTCCCCTCGTCCAGCCTTGTTCCCTCCCCAATTCCTGGTGCCTTGGATACAACTCGGAACAAACCTCTCGGGACCCTGCGCTGTGACGGCCTGGCCTGGCCCGGCCCGCGCCTCCCGGATCGGGACAGAGTCGTCGGGGGACACGGACGCTCCGTGTGGCAGGATGCCCTCCTGCATCTGGGGCAGAGACTTGAGAGGCCTTGAGCCCCACCTGGGGCTGGTCAGCGTTTAAGTCCCTGACAGGCTGGCTGCCCGCGGGGGAATCCTGGGCTAAGATCTTGGGGGCTGGAGCCAGTTCCGGGAGCTGAACTCGGGCCGAGATCTCCCAGGGGCTGGAGCCGGTTCTGGCGCCGGGGGCTAGAGCTGGTTCCTGGGGCTGAACTGGGGCCAAGATCTCAGGGGCTGGAGCCGGTTCCAGCATCAGGGGCTGAACTGGGGCCAAGATCACAGGGGCTGGAGCCGGTTCCAGCATCAGGGGCTGAACTGGGGCCAAGATCTCAGGGGCTGGAGCCGGTTCCAGCATCAGGGGCTGAACTGGGGCCGAGATCTCAGGGGCTGGAGCCGGTTCCGGTTCCAGCATCAGGGGCTGAACTGGGGCCGAGATCTCAGGGGCTGGAGCTGGGGGCTGGGCTGGGGCCGAGATCTCAGGGGCTGGAGCCGGTTCTGGGGCCGGGAGCTGGGCTGGGGCCGAGATCTCAGTGGCTGGAGCCGGTTCCGGTGCCGGGGGCTGAGCTGAGTCGGGCAGGCTCAGGCCTGGCTGCCTGTGACCTGAGGGACTCGGTTTCCTTCCCTGAAACACCTGTTGGGGGGCCCCCCTGCTTCCAAGTTCCCCCCCTGCTGTCAGTGCCCCGGGTGGGCAGGTGCCGCCCCCTGCTGATTTCATTTGCTCATAACCCCCCGCCTCCCAGCACCTCTGTGGGGATTTCCCATCCCAGCCCCCCCAGCCTGGCAGGGCCCCCCTACGAGGGCACCTCTGTCCAGGGTACCCCAGCGCCAGGTGCCTCTGTCCTCCCGCCCCCAGTGCTGTGCACAGCACCTTCCCCAGGCGTAAAAGCCGGTTGCCCCCTCACTCTAGTGCGGCCTTAGGGCCCCCCTCAAAACCCTGCTGGGGGGCTGGTTTTGGGGATGCCCCCGTAGCAGGAGAATCCTTGTACAGAGCACTCACAACAGTACTGTAGTGGGGGAAGGGACTGGCCCCATCTTCCACCACCCCCCACCGCTATTTCTTCTCTCACCCCCCCCCCCCCACACACTTTGTACTGTAACTTAATCCTGTTTGTAAAGCGATGTGTGTTCTCAGGTATGGGGGGGCCTGTATGGGGGCTGACCCCTTCCCTAGCAGCCGTGCCCCCTCTTCAGCCCACTGGTAAACTCTTGGGGGGGGGGGGACAGCAGGCGACTCCCCGATTTGCCCTGAATGTCCCTCTGCAGCCACCAGCTTGGGGGGGTGGGGGGTTGCCAGGAACTTTGCAGGGGTGGGGGGGATGCTGCTCCCAGCTGTGATGTGGGGGTGGGGGGGGCACAAGAACGGTTCCTGGGTTAGGCCCCCCCCCGAAAGGCTGGTTTGGGGTGTGGTGGATGAGGGGAGTAGCTGGCAGGATCCCGCTCCCAATGCTGCTGGGGGCTCTTAGCACGTCTGGAGCTGCCCCCCCCCCCCGGCGCCCACACACCAGGCTGGGATCTCTCGGCCCTTTGAACCTGGGGGGCTGAGCCCGGAGCATTCGGGGGGGTTGGGGCAGACGCATGCGCTGATGAATGGGTTGGGGGGGCAGTACTTGAAATGATTGAGGGGGTGGAGTCAGGGAGTATGTGATGTCATGGATGGGCGGTGCTAATAGGGCAGGAATGGTGATGTAATGAATTTGGGGGTTGGGTGTGATGTCATGGGTGGGGCGGGGCTATTAGGAAGGGGCTGATGATGTAATGGATTTGGGGGTGTGATGTCACGGGTGGTGATGTAATGAATTTGAGGGTTGGGTGTGATGTCATGGGTGGGGCGGGGCTATTAGGAAGGGACTGATGATGTAATTAATTTAGGGGAAACATAATTTTAACCTCTTCTCATTCCGATCCCTGTTCTGTGTCCCTCCCCCCCAGCGTACCTCATCCCCTCCCCCGCTGGGGGGCCCCCATGCTGCCCCCTCCCCACGCACTGACTTTCTGCCTAGTATCCTGTGTCCACGTACTGTCTCTGGGGTGTCCCCCCCCCGGCTAGTGGCTGCACCCCCTGGATCAGAACTGGGGGGGGTGTCAGCCAGAGGGAGGGGTCCGTAGTGGGCAGAGATCCCCCCTCCCACCCGTATGGGGGCCTCGGCTGGCAGTGCCTCTGGACTCTGTTTTTTTTATATCTCTTTTGTATTTCTACTCAGTGATCATCACCCCCCGCACCCATTTGTCTGTCCCCCCCTGTTGATCTGTCTGTCCCCCCCATCTGTGTGACTCCCCCCCCATCCCTATCTGACCCCCAACCGGGGTCTCTGTATTTAAGATTCTTCCTTTGTAATTTTTTCTAACGTGGCTGTTTTGATACCGGGGGGGGGGGGGGAGTTGTGTGTAAAATAAAATAAACTGTAAGGACAGAAGCTGGTCGGGTCTTACGTGTGGAGGTGGGGACCCAGACAGGTGCTGCGAGCTTCCCCCTAGCAGTGCCCCCAGCTGGCAGAGCAGGGGGGGACATGGGCCAGAACCTCCCACCGTTGCTATTCCTGGTCCCACAGGCCCCCCTGCCCTGGGTTACGCTCGGGACCCATCAACCCCGGCATCCTGGCTCCTGCTGCTCCAGGGGGTGGAGCAGGGAGCCCCCTTCCAGGCAGCGATGGGACAGGGGAAGTTCCCCACCCGGTGGCTCATCGGCCGCTGGGCGAGCAGGTGGCAGGTAGTTCCACAGGCCCCTAGGGGCTGGCTCACAGTAGGAGCGTGGGGGATGGGGGAGCTGAGGCCAAAGAAAGGGTTAACACCCTAGCTACTGCCTTACACTAGTGCCAGTCAGCCCCGCCCGGATCGGGGCCCCTATCACTCAGCCCCCTCCCAGAGCCAGAAGAGAACCCAGGAGTCCTGGTTCCCAGCACCCCCTGCTCTAGTCCCTAGACCAGGCCGGCTGTAGGCCCAATGGCACCCCGGCGAGGAGCCCCCTCCAGTTAAACTTTCAAACGCCGTATTTCTGATTTTAGCCCGTTTCACGAGGGCGACGCACGATTTGCACGCGCGATTCACCCCTGCCCCATACGACGGCGTGTTTGCCCGCCGAGCTCTGTGGAGCCGGGTTTGTTCCTGCCACTGATAAGCAAATAATTTGGTTCCTCTGAGCTCCTAGGAGCATTTCATGTGGAGGAAATACTGGCATGTGCAGACAGCCCCCCAAACCTGGCACCCCAGAGGCCTAGGACCCCCCCTGCCTGTGTGTGGAATAGCCCCGTCCTCTCCCTGCTCTGTTCACCAGTCGGGCCTAACCTGGGACCCCCCAATTGGGGTTTATTGGTTTCTGGGCCCAGACTTGTTTCCCGGGCCTGGTGTGAACACATCCTTGGATTCGAGTTTCACTTCACTTCCCAAATCAGCCGGCGCGATCCACAGGGGGCTCAGCCGCGCTGCTAGTGGGCCGGGCTGATGGAGATTCGCACTCTGGGGTAGTCGGGCCTGAGAGCACGAGGACACGTTCACAACTGCACGACGCACGCGGTTTGCACGAGCCCACTTTGCGCCAATCCTGGCTCTTGGCTGGACTGGCCCTGGCCCCGGCCCTGGCCCCGGCCCCCGTGTACCACCCGCCGGGGCCTGGCCGCGCCGTTCCGGGCCCCGCGTCCGCCTCCAACCCCCAGCCGTGCGAGGGGCTGGTGGAAAACGAATCCACAGACGGGACTCCGGAAACACGGGACTTCGGCTGCTCGGTTTTCTCGTCTGTCGCGCGTGACAAAAATGCCCCTCACAGCCCAGGCTGTCCCCTGCCCCAACTCCCCCTCCCCTCCTGGAACTGGGGAGAGAACCCAGGAGTCCTGGCTCCCAGCCCCTCCTGCTCTAACCACTAACCCCCACTCCCCTCCGCGAGCAGGGCAGAGAACCCAGGAGTCCTGGCTCCTGGCCCGGGGCAGGACACGTGTAAATGGGCGGAATGCGGATCCTGCCCTGCAGCGCCAGGCGTGGCGGGGCGGGGTCCCGGGGCCTCAGCGGGATGGAGACGCACCAGGCCGGGGGGCTCCCGGTTGCTCCTGGGGCTGCTCGCCCATCCCCCACTGGTAGGAGCGGGGGGGGGGGGCGTCGAGTCAGCTTTCACTTTCGATTCAGGGGCCGGGAAGTCCGAAAACTGTGGGAGAGGGGCTGGGAGCCTGGACTCCTGGGTTCTCTCCCTGGCTGGAGGGGGGGGGTCTAGTGGTTAGAGCAGGGGGGGCTGGGCGCCAGGACTCCTGGGTTCTCTCCCTGGCTGGGGGGGGGTCTAGTGGTTAGAGCAGGGGGGGCTGGGAGCCTGGACTCCTGGGTTCTCTCCCTGGCTGGGGGGGGTCTAGTGGTTAGAGCAGGGGGGGCTGGGCGCCAGGACTCCTGGGTTCTCTCCCTGGCTGGGGGGGATGGTCTAGTGGGTAGAGTGGAGGAGGGGCTGGGAGCCCGGACGCCTGGGTTCCCTAGAGGGAACCCAATAAATTTTCTCTCCTTTTGAGGTGCCGAGAGCATTTCCTGCATCCAGCGCATCGGGGAGTCCCTGCTCCGGGGGTAAGTGGGGGACCCCCGCCCGAAAACGGGGGTCCCTGGAGCTCCGCCCCCTCCTCTCCCGCATGCCCCTCCCCCCGCACCTTTCTTCTGCCCCCCACCCCCACCCCAGACACTACAGCCCCCGTCCTGCAACCTCTACCCAGGGAGAGTCCCTGAGACGCTCTCACCTGCACCCCGGCTTTCCCCCTGGGCCCCCACCCTCCTCAGGCCCCTTCCCCACCTGTGCCCCCTCCCTCACCAGTGCCCCCTTGTGCCCCCTCCCGTGCCCCACCTGCGTCCCCTCCCCCACCAGCACCCCCTCCTCCTGGAGCCTCTCACCTACACCCCACCTTCCCCCCAGTGCTTCCCAGATCCCACCCCCTGAGCCCCTCCCCTCGACAGGCTCCTCCCCCCCTGCCCCCCGTCCCCCCCCCCGGCCCGGTAACCCACCCCGGCTGGTTCCCTTCCAGGTTCGTCCTGTCCCAGCTCCATCAGCAGGGCCCCGGGCCCCACCCCGCCCAGTCGGTCACCGTGGAGGAGCTGGGGGGCCAGGACGCCCCCGATGGGCCCCGGGTCACGTCCCTGCGTGAGACTCTGCACCGGATATGGGGGAGCATGAGCCAGAACCCCGAGATTGACAGGTGAGGAGACCCCGACCTGCAGGCGGCCCCCCCCAAGTCCAGATGGTGCCCCTCACTCCCGACCCCCAGCCCTCTCCGGCTCTCCTGCTGCCCCTCACTCCTGATCCCCCCCCGACCTTGCTGGTGCCCCTCACTCCTGACCCACAGCCCCTGGCTGATGCCCCCTCTCCCTGCAGCCTGGTGCAGTGCATGGCGGGGCAGCCCCCCCTGCCGGCGCTGGCCGCCGTCTCGGAGCAGGTGTTCGCTGACGGCATCAACTGGGGCAGAGTCGTCGTCTTCTTCTACTTCACCTACAGGGTCATCGCCCAGGTAATGGGGGGGCCTGAGCCCGGACGCCTGGGTTCTCTCCTGGCTTGGCGGGGGGGGGGGAGTGGGGGTCTAGTGGTTGAAGCAGGGGGGCTGGGATGCAGGACTCCTGCATTCTACCCCGGAAGGGGAATGGGGTCTCGTGGTTAGAGCCGGGGTGTGCGGGGACTGGGAGCCAGGACTCCTGGGTTCTCTCCCTGGCCCAGGGAGGGGAGGGGGGGTCTAGTGGTTAGAGCGGGGAGGGGGCTGGGAGCCGGGACTCCTTGTTTCTCCCCCCAGATTGGGGGCTGGGATCCCAGCTGGCTGCTTACCCCCCCGCAATCTCTCCCCCAGGCTCTGGGCGGGTCCGACTGTCTCCGGTCCCTGATCGACTGGGCCCTAAACTTCCTGCGGGAGCGAGTTGTCCCCTGGATCCAGCACCAGGGGGGCTGGGTGAGTGCGGAAACCCCCTCCCCCCATTCTGGGACCCCTCCCCCCCTGCAGGGACCCCCTTCCGCCACCCACAGGCGCAGTCCTTCCCCCATCTGCCCCCCTCCCTTGCTTCCCCCTCGTGTGGGTGCAGGGGGGGGTGGGGGGTCTCTGGGTGGGGGAGGGTCGCATACATCTGCCACTAACCTCCCCCCTCTGTTTGGCAGGACTCCATCTTCAGCTACCTCACCTCCTCCTCCTAGGGGGGGCACAGCCCCCCCACCTGGGACGGCATCAGCAGCTGGGACAGAGCAGCCGCCCCCCCGCAGCAGAGACCCCAGAGGATGGACGGGGGCGGGATTACCCATGGCCCCTAGGTCTGCAGAAGTGAAGACAGCCTGGGGGGATGATGTGTGAACTTTCCCCCTCCCAGCCCCCAAAATAAAATCACAAATGAAAAAGAACAAATAACCAGGGCTGCCCACCGAATCGCGATGAACTCGAAACAAATTAACTTGATTTCAAAAAAAAAAAAACCCAGTCCCGCCGATCCGTGGTCTTAACACCGCCGTTCGCCCGGAGCCGGGCCCACTGGCACGGGAGATCCCGACGCAACGCTACCCGGGGTGAGTCCCGGGGACCAAGATTTGCACGGGGGAAAAGCCAGACTTTCTTTCAGCTCCCCTCGCACGGGGGCTGTCGTGCGAGCGGGAAAGTGCAAAGTACAAAGGTAGAATTTTCTTTGTGTTACATCCCTGCCCTCCAGAACTGACCAATGCAAATCCACTCGGTCCTGCTCCCTGTTCGGCCCGTCGCCGGACAGACGGGTTTGTTTAAGTCTAGGGGCGAGAAAGCTGCTGCTTATTTACAGGGCCCTCCAGATTTCACGGCCGTGAAAAACTTGTCACGGCCCGTGAAATAAGCCCTTCCCCGTGAAATTTGATCTTCCCTGTGCTGCTGGGAGCCCCAACTCTGAAGGCAGCGCAGAAATGAGGGGGGCAATCCCATGACCCCCCGCCACAGCAGGTTTGAGACCCCCCCCCCCACAATCCTCTTTTGGGTCGGGCTCCCCACGGTTACAACAGCGTGAAACTCTGGCGGTAAACGTGAAATTGACCAATTCTGAACCCCTCTGGCCGTGAGCTGGACCAGAACGGACGGTGAATTTGGTGGGGCCCTGATTATTTCCAGTGTCCCCCAAACGAGAGAGCTGGCGCTCGCGTGGTGCCCTTGTACCCGGCCTTGCAAGATCTTTACGTGCCAGAGGCCCTAGGCGGTGGTCGGCCCCGCCTGCTCCGGCCTGGTGATTGCACTCACGCTGGCTCGTGTGTTGCTCCCGGGCCAATGTCTGTAATCAGACAGAATAACCAGAGGGGAGGCAGGGGCGCGGGTTGTCCTGCGGCGGGGCCGAAAGCGACGCCGGAAACTGGGCAAACCCACCCATCGCTCGCCCGCCTCCGTGGGGCCTGTTCTTGTTGAACCGCGGGACTAAAACCGCGATGGAGCATGGCGGAGTTTTGTAATTGTCTGACGGCCCCGCAAAGAAATAAACGAGTGGGGAAAACATCCAAGGCTTTAGTGACTTTTTGAAAGGCCAGTGAAGAAAAACACACACCCCCCCGCTGCTCCCCCACACCCCAATTCCCCCCCTGCTGCCCTCCCAGCACCATGATCTCTCCTAGGCTGCTCCTTCCCCCCCAGCCTCTGCTCCCCACACTGCCCCCTTCCCTGCTGCCAGGATCCCCCCACCCCCCCAGCACCTGCATGCTGAGCTCTGTGAATTTCGGGGCGAGGGGTATATGGAGGGGTCAGTCAGCTGTGGAAGGGTGGATGGCAGGTTACACCCTCCCGAGGGCGACTCTCCTCTGCACGGCCTGGGATCGGCCCTGCTGGACCCTGGGTGACACCGGAGACCGATTTACATCAGGGCCAGTGCGTCACTGGTTCTCTGGCCCGCGGATTTCCAAGCACGAGGAGCGTTTTGAGCTACGGCCCGAGGCCCTGCCCAGCCCCTGCAAGTGCCCAGGCGAGCCGGTCGCATCCCCGCCGGGAGCCTGCCCGAAGGACGTCACCGCGGCAGGCGTTCGGCTGCGGGTTCTTCCTGCGTCTCTGCACCAGCGCCGGCCTCGATCGAAACGCCCAGGAGGGCCAACAAGACTTGGTTCAGTAGCCAAGGTGCCCGGGCAGGTTTACTGCGGGCAAAGGAGGGTCCTCGCTCCCCAGTTACGCTGACCCAGTGGTTTTCAAACTCTTTTTCTGGCGACCCTGTTGAAGAAGACTGTCGATGCCCACGACCCAGTGGAGCTGGGGATGAGGGGGTTGGGGTGCAGGAGGGGGCTCAGGGCTGGGGCAGGGGGTTGCGGTGCGGGAGGGGGTCAGGGCTCTGGGCTGGGGGTGCAGGCTCTGGGGTGGGGCCAGGGGTGAGGGGTTTGGGGTGCAGGAGGGGGCTGTGTTTGGGGGGCTCAGGGCTGGGGCAGGGGGTTGCGGTGCAGGAGGGGGTCAGGGCTCTGGGCTGGGGGTGCAGGCTCTGGGGTGGGGCCAGGGGTGAGGGGTTTGGGGTGCAGGAGGGGGCTGTGTTTGGGGGGCTCAGGGCTGGGGCAGGGGGTTGCGGTGCGGGAGGGGGTCAGGGCTCTGGGCTGGGGGTGCAGGCTCTGGGGGTGGGGCCAGGGGTGAGGGGTTTGGGGTGCAGGAGGGGGCTGTGTTTGGGGGGCTCAGGGCTGGGGCAGGGGGTTGCGGTGCGGGAGGGGGTCAGGGCTCTGGGCTGGGGGTGCAGGCTCTGGGGTGGGGCCAGGGGTGAGGGGTTTGGGGTGCAGGAGGGGGCTGTGTTTGGGGGGCTCAGGGCTGGGGCAGGGGGTTGGGGCATGGGGTTACCTCGGGCGTCTCCCGGTCTGCGATGCAGCAGGGGTGCTGAGGCAGGGCGAAGCAGCCAGCTCTGTGTGGCTCTCGCCCACAGACACCGCGTGCCCCCCCGCCCCAGCGCCCATTGGCCGGTTCCAGGCCAATGGGAGTGAGGAGCTGGTGCTTGGGGCAGGGGCAGTGCGTGGACCCCGTGGCCCCCCTGCCTAGGAGCCGGCCCCACTGCTGGGCACTTCTGGGGCGCAGCGCGGTCCAGGACAGGTCGGGACCAGCCTGCCTCAGCTGGGCAGCCCCACTGACGGAAATTTAACGGCCTTGTCCTGGGGCTGACCAGAGCGACCCAGCGCCTGACATGCCACGACTCAGTTCTGGGTCCCTGTGACGAAGTGCGACTGTTCTTAATGTTTCCCCTGAATAGTGTGGGGGTGCCTCAGTTTCCCCTAGGCAGTTCTTAAGTCTCTAGGGGATGGGATAAGGGGGTATGATCGTTGCAGAGCCCTAGAGGGCAGGTGTGTGCAGGGGTCTGGACACAGAGAATGGCCGACACCCTGTTTCCTGGCCACTGATGGCCTGGGCCCTTCATCCCACCAGGTGAGAGCTAAAGGGCTGGAGAACAAAGGAATCCGGTGACCTCCTGGCCTGGGAAAGGGACAAAGCCCAGAGAAGCGGGGGGGGGGGGGGGCTGGAGGAGGAGTCAGTTTGGGGCTGGCTGGAGACATGGAGTAAAGGGCAGACATGGTTGTCTGGCTCCCTGCCCCCCAAAATGGACCCAGCTGAGGGGTCCTGTTCTCTGCACCTACAAGCTCTGTGTTAGACCATGTCCCTGTCGTCTAATAAACCTTCTGTGTTACTTGCTGGCTGAGAGTCACGTCTGACTGCGGAGTCGGGGGGCAGGACCCTCTGGCCCCCCCAGGACCCCGCCTGGGCGGACTCGCTATGGGAAGCGCCCGGAGGGGCAGGGGAGGCTGGAGGCTCCAGGGTCAGACCCAGGAAGGTGGAGCCGTGGGAGCTGTGTGTCCTGCAGACAGGCTGCTCCCGGAGAGGAGACCCCCAGAGTCCTGCCTGGCTGCGTGGGGAGCAGATCCAGGGCAGTGCCCGGGGACAGTCCCGACCCACAATTTGAAAGCCCCAGATCTAACCCTTGTATCCCCGTGAGAATGGAGCAGCCCCGGCAGGGGCAGGATTTTCCATCTCCCGCAGTCCGGGCGAAGGGTCAAAGTGGGACCCCCCTGTTCCTAGAGGGAGACAAACAATCTGGGATAAAGAAACTGAGGCGGTTAGAGGCAGATCTGGCTGGGGCTGGTTTTCCAGCTGGCCCCATGGTGATATTATTCTATTTCCTTCGTGACCGACTTGACATGTCACCGCAATGACCCCCCCTCGCCCCACATTTACAGCCCTCCTGGTGCTGAGTCACGGCTCAGCTGCTGAATAAGACCCTGTGACCCTGGACTTTGTGCCAACTTTCTAATGGCTCAAAATTGAACACCCTGGCCCCGCCCCTTCTCTGAGGCCACACCCCCTCCCTCCATCCCCCCCCCTCCCTGGGTGGCTCGCTGTCCCCCCACCCTCACTCACTTTCACCGGGCTGGGGCAGGGGGTTGGGGTTGGGAGGGGCGAGGGCTCTGGCTGGGGGGGTGCTGGCTCTGGGTTGGGGCCATGGATGAGGGGTGCGGGATCTGGGAAGGAGTTAGGGTGTGTGGGGCGGCTCAGGGCTGGGGCAGAGGGTTGGGAGGGGCGAGGGCTCCGGCTGGGGCTGTGGGCTCCAGGGTGGAGCCAGAAATGAGGGGTTTGGGGTTCAGGAGGGGGCTCTGGGCTAGGACTGAGGGCTTCGAGGGCAGGAGGGGGCTCAAAGCTGGGGCAGGGGGTTGGGGAGCAGGGTCTGGGAGGGAGTTAGGGGGCGTGGGAGGGTGTTGGCTCTGGGGTGGGGCCAGGGATGAGGGGTTTAGGGGTGCATGAGGGGGCTCTGGGCTAGGTCTGAGGGGTTTGAGGGCAGGAGAGGGCTCAGAGCTGAGTCAGAGAGCAGGATCTGGGAGGGAGTTGGGGGGTTGTGGGGGGTGTAGGGCTGGGGCAGGGAGCGGGAGGTGAGGGCTGTGCCTGGGGGGTGCTGGGTCTGGGGTGGGGCCAGGGATGAGGGGTGCGGGGTCTGGGACAAACTTAGGGGGTGGGGGGGCTCAGGGCTGGGGCAGAAGGTTGGGGTGCAGGAGGGGCTTGGGGGGCGGGCAGAGCCTGCGCAGGCAGGGAGCCGCCTTAGCCCCACTGCGCTGCCGGCTGGACTCTTCACGGCCTGGTCAGTGGTGCCCACCGGAGCCGCCAGGGTCCCTTTTTGACCGGGCGAAAACCGGACGCCCCCGACCTCCGCCAGGACTCCTGGGTTCTACCCTGGCTCCGGGAGGAGACGCTTAGGAGTGATACAGCAGAGATCTGTGGGTCCAATTGAAGGGCCCCTGCAGAGCTGGGGGGGACCCCAGGACTGGGCTAGCAGGGGGCTGCGGGTAGGGAGTGAGGGGCATTGGCAGGGCTGGGGAGGGGACACTCCAGTGGGGGGGGTGTCTCTGGGTCCAGGGCCACTGCTCCCCCCATCCCAACCGGTTCTCACCAGCCCCAGCCGGCTGTGGGGGCAGTCTGGTGGGCTGAGATATGGTGCAGTGGCCAGGAGTCCCCCAGGCTCAACCTGGTGTTTGCGATGCACCCTCCATTTCGGGGGGGGGGGGGATGTCTGCCTTCGGTTCCTGGTGGGGAGGGGTCTCCCTGGTGCCCTGGCAGAGTGGGGGAGGGGCGGTTGCATGGTTAACTGCAGGGGGGGGCGTAAGGTAGTTTATTCTTTGCAGCGACCCAGAGCCCCGGGTGCGACTGAGCCTGGCTGCTGGGTCCAGCCCGGCCTGTTGGCACCCAGCAGCTAACACCCATGGGTGCCTCTGGGCAGGGAACCAGCCAGGTGCGAGCAGCTGGAGAACAAAGGGCTGGAGGGGCTGGGGGGGTTGCTGCATGTGGGGCTGCTGGGGGGAGCTGGGGGCACTGGTACTAAGGGGTAGGGGGGGGCCTCTGGGCTCGGGCATTAACCCGAGCTAATTTCTGTTCCCGGCACTAACCCAGGACTCTCCGCGCTGGGCCCAGACCCCCAACAACCCCGCCTTGCTCCCCCCACTGGCCAAGTCACTCCCGAGCCAGGAGCTGGGGGCCCTGGTTCCCTCTGGGGGGGTCTGTCTGCCCCCAGGGCCCATCCCGGGGCATTTGCTGCGGGGGGCTCCCAGCCTGACCTGGGAGGGGGTTGCAGGCTCCGAGGGGGGATCCCAGGGGGCGAGAAGCCAAGGGGCTCACCCCAGTGAGAGCGACTGCAAGGGGCTGCCGGGCTGCAGGGCTCCCCCCGGGGCTGGGCCAGGCCAGGTGAGAGCACCAGGCGTGTGGGTCCGAGCCCCAGGGCTAAAGATTTGCAATGGGATGGGAGACGTCTGGCTTTTGAGTTTTAAAAAACAATAACGAACTTACCTCCTTTTATTCAGGGGGGAGTGGGGACGGGGCTGGTGCCCCACAGCGGCCTTTTGTCTCCCCCTAAAAGGGGGAGAAAGTTTTTTCTTTGAAGTTAAACCCATTTACCCATAACACAGAGAATTTAGGGGTCTTTAGAGTGGCCTCTTGGTGTCACAATTCTCAGTCTCCCCCGAAAAACAAAACCAGGATAGAAAATGATCATCTACCCCCCAAACTCAGATTGTCCCATAAATCCTGGGACTCCTGGAGCTCGGGGCTTTAAATGAAACGCTGTCCCCACTGCGTGGGCCGGGCCCAGCCCGTCAGGTTCAGGTCAGGGCCAAACGGGATGGTTTCACCTGTCCTGGGGCTCGGCACCATCCTGGGTTTCCTGCAGCACCCAGTGCCGGAGGGGGGGCGGGGGGGGGCTGCATCCCAGCGGCGATGCCAGGATGGAGGCGGCTGGGGGCTGTGTGGAGCAGGGGGTGTGAACAGATGGGGGAGGGACTGGGGGAAGAGCTGGGGGGGAACAGGGGCTGCCTTAAGCAGACAGGAGCCCTGGGTTCGAAGGCCAGCGGGGGGGGGGAGATGTTTGGGAACAGCAGGACCCCACCCGGCTCCACGGGAACTTCCTACCCCGGGGAGGGACGCGCTCGGTTTGAGGGCAAAGGGGATGCCTCCAGCAGCCAGACACAGAGAACCCAGGCGTCCGGGCTCCCAGCCCCCGCCCCGTCACCCCGTTCTAACCGCTACACCCCACTCCTGACCCAGCGAGAGAACCCAGACATCTGGGCTCCTAGCCCCCGCTCTGCTCTGACCCACTTGACCTTCCAGTCGCTCCCATTTCCCCATTTCCTCTCCCCACCTGTCATGTGCCTCGACCCCATGAGAGCTGAACTCAGCAGAAACCACCCGCCCCATGGACGCCACCTGCCTCCCCACAGTGTCTCCCTGTGGGCCCAGCCGCTCCCAGTGCCCCCCCCACAGGCCCAGCCAGGCCCTTTATGATGTACCTCACCCTGAACCCGCTGACCCCCAGCCCTAGCTCATAAACCAACCCCCCCACCCCATCAGCCAGCCCCGTGACTGGCCCCAGGAAACCGGCCCGGATCCACCGCTGAGCCCCGAAAACAGGAACCCAGAGAACAGGCTGGAGGCCAGGACTCCTGGGTTCTCTCCCAGGCTCTGGGAGGAGAGTGGGGTCTAGTGGTTAGAGCGGGGGGGGGCTGGGAGCCAGGACTCCTGGGTTCTCTCCCAGGCTCTGGGAGGAGAGTGGGGTCTAGTGGTTAGAGCGGGGGGGGGGCTGGGAGCCAGGACTCCTGGGTTCTCTCCCAGGCTCTGGGAGGAGAGTGGGGTCTGGGGGGGGGGGGGGGGGGGGCTGGGAGCCAGGACTCCTGGGTTCTCTGCCTTTTGGTGGTCACATGCGCTCAGCCCTGCGGGGGGGGGGGGCAATGAAGGGAACAGCCCAAGGGCTGGGGGGGTTGCCGAGTCATGCTGACGTCAGTCCTGGGGGTGGGACGATGGGGTAGGTTTGTGCTGAGTCAGAGTCTGGAGGGGGCAGCTGGGGCGGGGGGGGGGGGGCTGCTTCTCTCTCTCCATCAGCCTCCCAGACAGGGGAGCGAACCCAGGCGTCCTGGCTCCCAGCCCCTCCCCCGGCTTGTGGGGCGTGTCGGTGGCTGCTAGCGGCGGGGGGCGGGCAGAGCCGGGAAGAGCCGCGGTGGGGCGGGTATAAAGGGTCCCCGCCAGCGCCCCAGACCCCACAGACCCCCCGGCTCTTGCTTCAACAGTGTTTGAACGGAGCCTCCGCACCCCGAGACCGCCCCGCACCCCCCGAGACCTCCCAGCACCCACCGGGCACCCAGCACCCACCGAGACCACCCAGCACCCCCCGGGCACCCAGCACCCACCGAGACCACCCAGCACCCCCGGGCACCCAGCACCCCCCGGGCACCCAGCCAGCGCCATGAGCTCCCAGATCCGCCAGAACTACGACCCCGAGAGCGAAGCCGGCACCAACCGCCTGGTGAACCAGCTGCTGCGAGCCAGCTACAGCTTCCAGTCCCTGGTGAGCGCCCCCCGCCCGGCCTCTGCCCCCCGCCCGCCCCCCGGCCCGGCCTCTGCCCCCCGCCCCCCCCCTCCCCCCCCCCCCCCCCCCCCCCCCCCCCCCCCCCCCACCCACCCCCCCCCCGCCCCCCGGCCCGGCCTCTGCCCCCCGCCCCCCCCCGGCCCGGCCTCTGCCCCCCGCTCCCCTCCCGGCGCCGGGAGAACCCCGGAGTCCTGCCCCCCGCCCCGCCCCCCGGCCCGGCCTCTGCCCCCCGCTCCCCTCCCGGCGCCGGGGAGAGAACCCCGGAGTCCTGGTTCCTAGACCCGGTCCCCAGGGCACAGACTTTTGTCCCCCCACCCCTAGGTACCAGCTCTGGTTGCCTGGGTCCCTAACACGCGCACACCCCCTCCAGCCCCACCCTCTGCTGTTTACTAGGCTCTCCTAGGGCAGAGTCCAGGCTCCATGGATCCCCCCCGTGCCCCCCCCCCGTTAATCATTAATCACCCCTGGGGTGGGGCTGTCCCCTGCGGGCAGGTGCTGTGGGGGGGGTCTCTGGATTAGTGGGTCCGGGGGGGGGGAACTCTGGGGCAGTCCCTGGTTTCACAGGTCCTCCCCCCCCCTCCCCCCCTCCAGCTGTAGGGACTCTCGGGGGGGCTTTCCCCGATTCCTGGTCTGGGGGCCGTGGGGAGCTGCTCCACCGTCGGGGCTCACCGATGTCTCTTGCCCCCCCCCAGGGGTATTTCTTCGACCGGGACGATGTGGCGTTGGCCCATTTCTCCGAGTTCTTCCGGCACCTGGCGGGCGAGAAGCGGGAACAGGCCGAACGGATGCTGGGTTTCCAGAACCGCCGGGGGGGCCGCATCCTCCTGCAGGCCATCCAGGTGAGCCGGGGGCGGGGGGGCAGCTTGGTGGGGCAGGAGGGAGGGATGCTGGGGGGTGCTGGGGTGGATGGGAAGGTTTTGAGGGGGACACCATCTTCCCCCCCCCCAGGCACAGCCCTAACCCCCTCCCCCTTCCCCCCCTGCAAGAAACCGGAGCAGGACGAGTGGGGGAACGGGGCGGCCGCCATGGACTTCGCCCTGAAGCTGGAGAAAACCATCAACCAGGCGCTGCTGGACCTGCACAAGGTGGCCACGAGCCACGCGGACCCACACGTGAGTGACCCACCCTGTGGGAACCCAGGAGGCTGGGCCCCTGGGCTCTATCCACCAGACCCCCCCTCCCAGAGCCGGGGAGAGAACCCAGGAGACGTGGCTTCCAGCCCCCACCCTGCTGTAACCACTAGACCCTCCTCCCCTCTGCAAGCTGGGGAGAGAACCCAGGAGTCCTGGCACCCAGCCCACCTCTGCTCTTAGCACTAGACTCCCCTCCCCTGCCAAAACCATGGATAGAACCCAGGAGTCCTGTGGGGGGAAGGCCCAAGAGGACCCCCCCCGTCTCTAACTGTCCTCTCCCGCCCCCCAGATGTGCGATTTCCTGGAGACCCACTACCTGGACGAGGAGGTGAAGCTCCTCAAGAAGCTGGGCGACCACGTGACCAACCTGCGGCGTGTCGGGGCGGCCGAGGGGGGGCTGGGCGAGTATCTCTTCGACCGGCTCACCCTGCACGACAGCAGCTGAGCCCTGAGCTGCCCGCGGCGCCGGCCCTTTAAATCCTGCTGCCCAGCTGGGCCGGAGCCCCCCCCTGCTGATCATGGGGTACGCGCCCCCTCACCCCGCCTGCCAATCACGGGGTGACCCAGCCCCTCCAAAGTCTGTAACTGGCATTGAATAAAAGCTTGGCATTAGCACTCAGGCTGTGTGAGGTGTCTGGCTGGGGACCCAGGCGTCCTGACCTCTAGACCCGCCCACTCCTCTTGCAAACCCCATGGCAGAACCCAGGAGTCCTGGCTCCCCATTTCCCCCACACACACCACACTAACCCCTGCCGAGGTGGGGGGGCATATCCCCTCCCATCACCAGTCTCCCTCCCCCCAGCTTGGCACTCCCCAGCTGGTTAATGGGGTGCCCAATGGCATTAACTGTGGGGGGGGCAGCTGCTCACTCTGCCCCCTTATACTGGGTTGGAGTCCTGGGGGTCCCTGCCCCCCCCCACCCTGTGAGCAGCATCCCAGCAGGGCCAGCCAGGAGCTCCCCAAACTCAGCGCTGGAAGGGGGCACCTGGGTGTTTGGCTGGGAGGGACCGAGTGCCCCCTTGCAACAGGGGCTTGGCTCAGCTGCACCAGGGGCGCCCCCCACAGTCTGACCCCGAGCAGGGAGATGCAAAAGGCTAGAATCCCACCCACCACCCCACCCCAAACAGGTCGCATCTCCATCTAGGCAGGGGGTCCCCATATACACAGTCCCAGTGCCCCACCCCAGAAGGGCCACATCCCAGCATGGGCAGAGGGGGTCCCCATATACCCAGCCCTGGTGCCCCACCCCAGAAGGGCTGCATCTCAGTGCGGGGCTAAGGGTCTTCGTATCCCCAGTGCCCGCTGAGGGAGGGGTCCCCATCTAACCAGCCCCCGCCCCCTACCCCAGCGGGGTGGCGTCTCAGCACCAACCGAGGGATCCCCTTATACCCAGCTGCTGGTGCTGTATCTCAGTGCTGGGCGAGGGGTCCCGCATATCCCACCCCTCTGCGCCCCGCCCCAGACACAGCTGCATGTTGGAGGGACGCGGAGTTTAGCGGACGTTTATTCCTAGGCCCGGCCAGGCTCCCTGGGGCCTGGGAGAGACAAAAATGAAACCAAGCGACGACATTTGCAACAGCCATAAATAAAATACACGCGCCCGGGGGTGAGAGGAAGCCCTCACCCCACAGAGGCCCCCGTGGGTGCAGCACCCGGCCCGGGCACAGAGTGGGGGGCCCAGGGATGGCAGCCCAAAGGGTTTTGAGGCATGATTTTCCTTGTGTTGGGGTTGCTGGGAAACTGGCAGGCAAGGGGAGCCCTGTGTGGACCCCCTCCCCCAGAGGTGGTTGCACGTCAGCAGCAGGTCCAGCTGTGTGACCCCTCCCCACCGCTCCCCAGCAGATGGCGCCAGGAGGGAGCAGCGTTCTAGATCTCCAGCAGCTGGGCTCTCGACTGGTCTGTTACTGGAGGTCAGGGAGGGGGTGGGGACACACACGAGCAGACTGCACGCGCATGCAGCATCCTGGAGCCTTCCTGCAGCCCCATCATTGGCCCAGAGCACGCAATGTTCTAGAGCAACCCCCTCCGCAGGAGCATGGAGTGATCTAGAACCAAGCAACCGAATCCCGAACCCCCGAGAACTATCAAAACCCTGCAAGACGTTCCAGTCCAGCCCAGCCCAGCCACACTGGTGTCTAGTGACTTCCAACAACCTAGAACATGTGCCAGGCAGTTTGGGCCTCCAGCACACGCCCTGACACTGCTAGAACAATCTAGAACCCGGTCCCCGGCAGCCTTTCCATCCTACACACAATGCTCTAGAATGATCTAGACCACCTCTTTCCTCAGCTATGCTCGCCAGACCACAGGAGTGCTGCAGAACACTTCGAGAAGGCCGGGACCCCCAGCACACGCTCTTCTAGAATGATCTAGGTGGAGCTCATTCCAGAAGTTAGGAACCAACCCATCTCCCTTCGTTCACAGCACCCGCCCGTGCTTCCCCCTTCCCAGAGACGCCATTCAAGACATCCCCTCCAGAACACCCAACACCATTCATCGTCTCGTGACCATGCAATGTTCTGGACTGATCTAGACCATGACAATGTGGACTTCTACATATGGCCCCAACTCCTTCATTGCACTGAGTTCTAGAGGGATCCAGAACGGTTCAGACGTCACCGCACTCGGTAGCAGGGTCACATTCTAGACTGCCCCTCCTTCTAAACAGTTCCAGAACCCCATCTGTCACATCACTCCCAAACAATCCAATCAAAATCTTACAGCAGGCCCCATTCTAGACTGCTCCAGAACCCCCAACATTACCCGATGCTGCACTCCAGAATCATGTATGGGTACCCTACATGCCTGAGGGGCATGCCCCATACTAGATGTCACAGCCCCCATTTTAATACACAGAACTCTAGAACAATCTAGATCTCCCAAACATGAAAACCCAGGGCTGCTCTGCATCCTGGAGTGAGAATCATTCTAGAATGATCCAGACCAATCCTACACCGTAGAGCCAGGCCCCGTTCCTGACCAGGCTTCTCCCTAGACAGCAGCTGACTTCGCTCCTAGCCCAAACCATTCAAGAGCCCCCATCTCCCCCTCCGAACGTTGGCAGCTGCAAACACTAGTAAGATCCAAAGTGCTGCAGACAACACGGAGGTCGTTCTAGACAGTTTGGAGGGGCAGGCCAGAGCCTGTAGCCCACAGGGTCCTGGAGCACCTTGGAGAGTGTACTCTAGAACACCCATGCCATTGGTCTACAACACAAACACCCCATCACTTTGGGGGTCCTGAGGGAGAGCCAGAAGCAGAGGATAGGGGGCAGGAGGGAGATGTTCATCTCTCGCAGGGGAGGGTGTCGCCCCTGGTTTTGAATGATCTAGAACCTAGCATCGGCTATCTAGAACCCGGCAGAAGGGGAGGGTGGGTTCTAGAGGGAGAGCCAGAAGCAGAGGACGGGGACCGCGGGGGTTGCTTATAACCATTGTGCCTGGGGGGGGCACCCCCTAGTTCTAGACCAGTCTAGACGCCCCCCTAGTTCCTCTCCTCGTTGATGGAGCTGGTGGGGCTGCTGAGGTCGCTGGGGCTGGAGGGCATGGTGGGGGTGGAGGCATTGGAGGAGGTACTAGCCTCACTGCAGCCCTTCTTGGGCGGCTTGCGCCACTCGGGGACGGGGCCCGTCATGGCCGGGGGCTTGATGTTGCGCCGATCCTTCTCCGCCTCCTCCTCCTCGTCGTAGCGCTCGTCGTCGTCCTCCGTCTCGCTGTGGTGGGGGCTGGAGTGGCGGGAGATGGAGGGCGAAGGGGGCACGGAGGCCGGGCGGGGGTAGCGGAATCCCTGGGCCTGCGCGGACAGAGAGAGAGAGACGTGCGCGGTAACGCCGGTGCCCAGACGCAGCTGCACAGGGTGGGGGCCGGTTGTACGGAGACCCCTCGCCCGGCCCCTGGGGGGCGGGGGGGGGGCGGACGGTACACTTCCAGATGCTTTATAAAAATACGTTTGTAAGTGTGAAGATGCTGTAACTGGAATATGCTTCATGCAAAAGGTCTCTTGTAAGGCATCATTACAAAGCCTGTGATCTCCTGAGCATGGTCATCTGTTTGTTTGCAGGTATTATTTCCATGTCTGGCGTTAGGAGAATAAGACAAACGTGGATCCCTGATGTAGACATATTAAGTGGAAGGCATTAAGAGTGCTTCAGAATCAGTGACCTGTGAATGGCACTGTTTACCTGCAAGCCTCCACTGCATACCTGCGGGCCAGTTGTGAGAAATCCCCTAGTTATCAGCTGAGCTGGAACGAACAAGGGCAGTGCCAGGGGAAAGGACTGGGCCCAGACTAGGAAGGAGCCTAGTCTGTGAAAGAAGCTCATTGGAACAGCTCTGAGGGCGAGATTTACCTGTATTCAGTTTCTTAATGTCTTAGGCTTAGGCTTGCGTGTTTTGTTTTATTTTGCTTGGTAACTTACTTTGTTCTGTTATTCCTTGAAACCACTTAGATCCTATCTTTTTACACTTAATCACTTTTGTTTATTAATTGTAAGTAATTAATACCTGGGGGAGCAAACAGCTGTGCATCTCTCTCTATCAGCGTTATAGGGGGCGGACAATTTAGGAGTTTACCCTGTATAAGCTTTATACAGAGTAAAATGGATCTATTTGGGGTTTGGATCCCATTGGGAGCTGGGTGTCTGGGTGCTGGAGACAGGAACACTTTCTAAGTTGTTTTCCGTTAAGTCTGCAGCTTTGGGGGCGTGGTCCAGACCCTAGATCTGGGGTGCAGCAGACATAGCGTGTCTGGCTCAACAAGGCAGGGGTCTGAAGTCTCAAACTGGCAGGGAAAACGGGCTCAGAGGTAGTTTCAGCACATCGGAGACCCCCTTGGGACTGTCACCTGTGACCGAACCCGTCACAGGGGACACGCAGGGGCTGGAGATGCAGGGACCCCTCGGGGCGGGGGCACGCACAGGGTCTGGATACACAGGAAACCCTTGGGAGCAGGATGCAGGGACCCCTTGTGGGCGAGGTGGGGAAAACACAAGAGCTGGGTACACAGGGATCCCTCATGGGTGGGGATGTGGGGGAATGCAGGGGCCAGGAACACAGGGACCCCTCACCCAGCACAGAAATGCAATACTCTCTGGGGTGGGGCAGGGGCTGGGTATGCAGGGCTCCTTGGAGGGGGGCTGAGTATATGGGGCCCCTCGGGGTGGGGGTGGTGATGCAGGGTCTCGCACTCACCGCTGTCTCCTCCGGGGGCTCGTAGGTGAAGTTGTCGGGAAAGGCCTTGGCGAGCGCCATGTGTCGGGCGGACATGTAATACTGGTGGGGGGCAGAAACAAGGGGGTTATGGAGGACTGGGTCAGGACCTCCCCCGCCCTGCCCTGCCCCCCCCCATGTCAGCCTCTGACAGCAGCAGGTTCTCCCCAGCAGGTGAGTTCCCATGGAGGCCATTCTCCCCTCCTTGCCCCCCCCCCCCCACCAGCTCTTCCCCGACATGGCCTGGCCCAGGGATTTCCCACCCCCAGTACCCCCTGCCTCAGCGTAGGGGGCTGCACTGGGGGACGTCACCAGGTCCTGTCCCATTACTGAGTCTGGGCCCCCCCCAAACACTGCCCCATAGCCCCCAGACCCATGTCACCTTGTCTCTGTGGTCCCCCCACTTCCGTAC